GTTACCATCATTGAGGGGCTTCTGCAGATTTTGAACATAATAATAATAATAATAATAATAAAATTTATTTATATACCGCCCGGTGGCGGACCAATCTAGGCGGTTTACAATAAACATTGGCAGATTCCTCTGAGCTTCGAGCTAAGGACTCCCATGCTGAGCCTACAGGAACTCCTTATATCAGTGGTTCCCAAACTTTGCTTCACCAGCTATTTGGATTTCAGCTTCCAGAGTCTTAAAGCTGGCCAAGATGGCTGACTCTTCTGGGAGCTGAAGTAAAACATCTGGAGAACAAGAATTTGGGAATCACTGCCTTATATAGTCAAGCATCTTCCTCTGCACTGGGGCACCCTCTAGGCTCCAAGCCTTGTGACAGCCCCTTTAATATTAGGTTTGTATCAAATAAATGGACCCTACATGGAGGGGTGATCTTTGGGGTAACAACATCTGAAAAAGTACATTCTCTTAGGCATTTCTAGGTCCTCCAGTGCGATTCAGTGGTCAACGTCTAGCCCATATATATCATAGAATCGTGCCATAGAAATGGCTAGAGAAGTATTCTCTGTAGGACCAATTGCAATGCTCAGAGAAATATCCCTCTAGGAATGTAGTCTTAAGAAATAATATTTCATCTTTGATGACTCCACCAATAGCTATGTTCATACAAAGATGCTCCCACACATTTTAAGAGAGGGCCCAGATAAACTGAATTATGCTAGGTAATTCTTGGGTGTGAAGTCATAGGCTTTCATGGCTGGCATCCATAGTTTTTTGTGGGTTTTTCAGGCTGTGTGGCCATGTTCTAGAAGAGTTTCTTTCTGACGTTTCGCCAGCATCTGTAGCTGGCATCTTTTTTTCTTTCTCTGAAGATGCCAGCCACAGATGTTGGCAAAACGTCAGAAAGAAACTCTTCTAGAACATGGCCACACAGCCTGAAAAAACCCACAAAAATTCTTGGGTGGTTTGAAAACACTGATTTATTTTTTAACTTTTAGGAAATGCTGCTATCACATTTTGATGGGCAACAACCCTTGAACAAAGTGCTAGAGAAGTTACTAATAAGCCATTAGTAAACAACATATCACTTTTACTGTTTTCTCTGAGTCCATATATGCATGCATGTGAAATATCATCTAATGACTACGAGGATACTTTAGGTTTGTGTTGTGTTGTCTTTTGTTTCTAACTGAAGACACTTCAGGTTGAAAGATAGCATATACATTTTAAAAATGATAGTCAAGTCTCCCCTGGAGTACTTGACTTTTCAGTCCAGGTAGACCTATTGAGACCAAAGAGACCAAACTCAGTTACTCTGTGGGTTAGACTTCTGGATTGTAGACACTGGCATCACAATGTCATGAGTTCAGCCCATTGTTTAGGGACTCAGCTAGAATGAAGAATGAAAATGAGGTTTCTCTTAAAGATACCTACTTTGGTGCCAACAATATAACAAATCACCTCTGGCATAGGATGTGATGTGTGCCCCTTAAGTGTTCTAGGCATAATTAGAGTTGGATCACAATTGGGAGGGAGAGAAAAAGATTAAATAAATAAATCAGTTACAGAGAATTTTGCTTCAGGTATAATGTATGGCTAATTGAGCAAAACTCCCTTTCTTTCTAATGAGCTGTGGAGAGAACAACACATCTTCAGGAGATGAGCTTTTTATTGTTGTTAAAGGCCTTCAACTCCATTGATCCAACTTATGGTGAGTCTGTTCTACAATTTTCTTGGCAAGATATTTTCTGAGGATCTTTGCTATTGCTTTCTCCTTAAACTGAAAGAATATCACATGCCCCATGGTATCCCATTGGATTTCAATGGCCAAGTGGAGATTTGAACCCTGGCCTTCCAGAATCCTGAGAGCCACTATAATGTAGTGGTTTGACTGTTGGATTATGACTTTGAAGACCAGGGTTCAATTCTCTGCTTGGCCATAAAACCCACTGGGTGACCTTGGATAAATCCCGTGTTCTCAGCCTCAGGGGAAGGCAATGGCCAACCTACTCTGGACAAATCTAGATGAGAAAATCCCCATTATAAGTTTGCCTTAGGGTTACCATAAATCAGGAACAACTTGAAGGCACCTAACAAGTCTCAGAACCAAACAGACTACTGCTCCAAACTATCTCTCAATGCTTTTTATTAAAAAAAACACACAAAAAACACAACTATGTAGTTGAGCCCACTCAGGAATTATGAGTCAGAGGTATATTAAATGATCAAGTGCTGAGAAACATTAAGATGATGATTATTGTTGAACCCTCCCAGGAATAATGGAGGCTTTCTGCAATCTATCTCCTGCACATTTACTTGGGAATAAGCTGCAATGAATATGCAGAGGGCACTTCTAAGGACATATCATGCTTGTACATTTAAAGATGCTTGAATGATAATGGTTGGGAAAAGTAATTTGCCCTCTCCCTGCACAGCTCTACAAAATAGGAAAAATTAAGAACTTTCTCTTGCTGTTGTTGAGGCGCACCACCATCTGACAAACAGTGCTGGGCTCCTCATACTTTAGTACAATTGAGTATAGAATGGAATTCCCAATATTCTATATTTTTGTCTCTCCACCAGTTCATCTTGCCATATGTGATCTCTCTTTTTAAAATAATTTCCTCCTTCAGTATTTTTTCCTTAATGTTTCTTCTCGTTGATAAGTCAACCGAAAGCAGCCCTTCTCCTAATGCAGGGCCAACTCAAGATATTTTGTTGCCTGGAGCAGAAAAGCAAATGACAGTCTCATAAACAGATCCATACACTGAGCCAAATCAAGATGTTTATTACCTAAAGCCAGTGATTTTGACATAAAGAAAAAAAGATCCCACAAACATTGTTCCCCAACATCGGCACTAAAAATATATGAAAGTGTATTATGTCAGTTGGTGTGCATTTTTGCACTTTCACATTGAGTTAACAGTCTGCACTTTCCTGAACAAATTTGCTTCTATTCAACTTCGTCTGCCAAAAGTGTGCAGCCATCCAAATGCAAGCAAAATGGATGGATAGCTAGATGTGTATGAATTTCTGCAGATTTCAGCAGATATGCTGGTAAAAACCATGAAGCCTTTTTCCTGCAAAACTGAAGGTTTTTTTTGGGGGGGGGGAGCACAAAAAGCCCAAACTCCTGTGAATTGCATGTGGCTACATCACATTCTGTTAGACTGAAATGACGAGTATTTTAATTCTGTAGACTAGCCCTCTGACAGCCATCACTCTCTGCTTAATGTTAGGCGCAGCCTTTTTCAATCATATCTAACCAAGCAATGATGAGGGAGTATATTGTATGCAGATGGAAGAAGAGGTGATTGTATTATTAGATAGGTTGAAGCAGCAGCCTCAGGCAGCAGATTTTAAGTGTAACGAGACTTCAGCAACCTGTCAATTATTTATTATTACTGTATTTTTACTGCCAGAAATGCTTGAGAGCACATTGGATCTCCATCCCAGAAGAAAGAAATGGTATAAATCAAATAAATAAATAAATAAATTGTGAGGCTTTGTGCCTCTTATATGCTGAAATAGCTTGGTTGGTTTGAGATATTTTGCACTCTCACTTGGGCTGAAAGCACCATTTGCAGTTCCATGTCAAGCTGAAAAATGCCTTGGGCCACCCCTAGCTACTAGGCAACTGCAGAATGCGCAACACGCATTGGGTGTGCCATTTATCCTCCGGGCAAAAATGGCTGAATAAGGATTTAAATGCAATTGCTGGGGACAGCCATGTTATCGGAAACAGGACTGAGAGCCAAGAGATACCACTTCTGCTTCTGCATGGAAATGGTGGTAAAACCTTCCTGGAGAGGGCTCCTTCTTTGCTCCTCTTGCAACAACGTCCTGAACAAATATCTTCTTTTGTCTAGTACGTGCTATTTTGGTGCTCTTCTGATTTCCCTTTTCTCTGCTTTCTTCATTGGTAGATGCCTACTATCAATCAGAAGTGTGTGTCTTTTGCCCCTCCTTCCAGGCTTTACAAGGCACAGTGGTCTTGATCTCCAAAATGCTTGGTGCATCTGCCCGTGGATGCCCTTAGTTTGACCTCTGTCTTCCACTGGGCATCCCCAGTCCCTTTCTCCGTGTGCTTCAGCCCGTGGTTGGGCACAACCTATCTTCTCACCAGCATCCTCCCTGCCCATCTGCCCTGCCCAGCTGGCTGTATTTTGTTGCAAAAACTGGAGTGGCACTATTCAACACCAGCTGTGACGCTCCACATTGCCCATTCCTGCAGCTGCGGGTGGAACGTGGTGCCTGCCGAGGTAACTGTCATGTGAGGCTGTTGGCCTCACAGCTGTACGGAAGAAGCCGTATTCTCCCCTACACTCCCCTTTGTGACTCCCTGAGATTGTTTGTGTGAGTGTGTTGTTTGTTCTTTAACTCCAGAACAATGGAAAAGAGGTTAACTCTCAGCAACACTGGAGCCATTCATGCTATCCAGTTGGAGATTGCTGGAGAGGCAGGAATGGGAGGAAATAACCCAATTTGAAGCTGGGTTGTATGCACACTGATGTCAGCATACAAAGACACAGAAATGTAGATTTGTTTGGTGTATTCAGCAACTGTGAGTCAAGAGGGCATAATGACCAGCCCAGCTTTCCCCTTTGGGATTTTTCAGTGATGGGAAAGGCTACTTCCATTGGATTGAATTTTTCTTGGTTAGTCCCAACTAGAGCAGGCCCAAAGAATCAATTGTTGAATGATCAGTTAATATGTAGGTCAATTCTACTAAGTCAATAGGTAAACCATAGTTTGGACTAACAGAGTTGCTAATTCAAGGTCATCCAAGGCCCTGAGGTTTCCAGGCCAAAGCCTGAAACCTTGGATATCATCCCTGATGATGTTCTCAAGTTTTGTACATTATGTCTGCACCACAGTTGCACAAAATTATATTCTCACAACATATTTTCCTGATTGGAAATTAAGACAGAAATCTGTGCTAAAGAGGCAATTGTTCACCCTCACTTACTTAGGGAGATGGGATAAGGAAGATTTAATCTTGAGCCAGTGTGGTGTAGTGATCTGAGTATCGGACTAGGACTCTGGAGACCAGGGTTTGAATCCCCGCTCAGCCATGCAAACCCACTGGGTGACCCTGGGCAAATATTACTTTCTCAGCCTCAGAAGAAAGCAAAGGCAATCCAACTTTGAACAAATCTTGCCAAGAACGCTCTGTCTCAGGGGCAAGTTAGGGTTGCCATAACCTCCTCTGAACAAATCTTGCCAAAAGGTTTGACTTAGAGTCACCATAAGTGAGAAACAATTTGAAAGCATACAACAACAAAGTTAAAAACATAAAAATTAAGATTAAAATTGTATTAAACAGTCTACAGAATTATATGTTCTAGGTTTTTTTGCTTTTATAAGATAGCAACCAAACACCAAAAGGACAGGAAATAACAACCCAGAAGCTTCCTAAATAATATTCTGATAGGCTGTATATCACATATATAGTCAGATATAGTAAAATATAATGAGATGTAAGGTCTATTGGCTTCACTGGAAATTGTTGTAAACATATACAAGATTATGGCATAATTCAGTGTGTATGCATGAACCTTGTTTTATAGATTTTTAAATCTAGCATAGAGGCTTGATTTTTAAAAAATTCTGAGAGATAGGAGGATTTTCCTTTTCTTCTCACTCTTTCATCCTCCTCTTTAACCTTCTCTTTAGAGTTATAGGGACTATCAAAATAATCTCGGTAGATGCATAAGTGAAATGGCATTTTGCATTATAATTTTTTTTAAAAAAGTTAATTCTAAAAAAAACCAAAAACCGTAAAAAGAAAATTTACCCTTCTAACCATAGAATCATCTCAACAAACCATTTCCCAGTTTTTAAAAATCTGGTGCAGACCCTGTAAATCACTACAAACAGCTCTTGAAATAATGGAACGAATGGATGTGAAGGTGAAAACCAGGGGTAAACACACATACACATAGAGCTATATTGCAAGAACTCACACTTCTTTAGATCAGTCTGGAAGAGCCCTCAGTTTTTGACAAGACATTACCAAATTTGTAACTTTCTTCATGTCCAGGATGGTAAAAACTTGGGATATTAAAAAACCTGAATGTTGGAGAAGCCATAGCTGACAGATTCACCCATCTAGGTAGGCTTCGTATGATTGATTCTTAAAAGTCTGAGCATGAATCATGTTCATGCTGAATGATGGTTGCCACTTTTTTATCCCGAGAGGCTCCTCATCTTTAATGCCTTCTCTCCTTGCTGAGAATAGCTCTACCTCCAGAGTTTAGTCAGTACAAATGGAACAGATGTTTGTTACTATTCACTGCTGAAGAATTTATCAAGCCACAGACTTCTAATTCCAGATGGAAAGTACTTGAGGTTTAACATATTTGAATGTGGAAGAGAGTGAAACTTGGTGGATTGTTTCCACATCCCTAATTTGGAGTAGTGGTCATTTAGAAAGCCTACCTCACTATTATCTCTCTTTAAATCAGCTTCCACCAGGCTGATAACCTTGTTGGACTAGGACTGCTACAGTCCGGTAGTGTCCCTGGGGGGTGCGTGAGGGGTGCGGGGTGCATCGGGTGACAACCAAAAGGGGGTGACACCTGGTCAGCCCCTCACCCCCCACCGGCACTCCTTGGGGATGCCAGGCCCGGGCAGGCAGCAGGCGGCTGTTTTCCTGGCCACACCTTTGTTTTCCCAGGCCTCCGGGGGCCTCCAGGCCTCTGGTGAGAGATGTTTCTCCAGGCCATGCTACCATTTTGTCAGCCCGTGCCATTGTTCTCCTGAGCCTTGGGGGGTCTTTGGGCCTCAGAGGGAGAGTCTCTGGCCTGAGCTTGTGAGTAGGTAGCAGTTTCTTCCAGCCACAGCACGCTGCTGTTTTCCCCGGCCTCATGGAAAGGTCTCTAGCCTGGGTGGGTGGCGGTTGGCCACCATTTTCCTGGCCTGTGCTGCTGTGTTCCTGGGCCTCAGGGGGACTGTCTCCAGACAGTGGCCCTTTCCACAGCTCACATGGCTGCTTTCTGCATGACCCATCCCCTGGAAGTCCCACCTGGAAGTCCCACCCCCCAGAAACCCCATCCCCCTGCACCAGGTGACACCTCGGATGAGGATGCTACTGCTACAGTCCACAACTGACACAACTGTTGCTTGCTGAGGATGGTGGACACAATAGTCTAACACAGGGGTAGGCAACCAACATGGCTAAGGCTATTGGCCAACATGGCTAAGGCTTCTGGGAGCTGAAGTCCCTCGGCCCTTAAAGGGGAAAGGTTGCCTACCCCTGGTCTAACACATCTGGAGGGCACCAGGTTTGAGGAAATTACTCTGAACAAATTGACCTGGGTGTTGGAGTGTTCTCCTCCTATCCTGCAAAGCTTGGCGGCCCAAGCATGTTGAAGATTTCTTCTGCAAAGTCTTCTGCTCAAAGATAGAAAAAGAGGGAGAGCATCTTGAGGTGGGACATCCTGGAGAGAAGCACAATGCCTTTCTTCTCTCGTTACGCACACATCTTACTCCTGGCCAGTAATGAGTTAGCTTTTTTGTTTGTGCTTCTTTTGCTGAAAGTTGGGGTATACATTTCTGGGAAAGAGTGCAGATAACAGATCATCTTACTCTGTTTGCTACTGTCAAGCAATCTGGGCAGATCTCTTTGCTTTGTCTCAGAGCCAGTTCCAATTTCAAGCAATGTTTGTCTGCAGTTTATACCTCAGTTAACAAAGTAGGCGCGTTCCATTTCCTAGGCATTACTACTTTAGCAGAAAATTCAGTACCAAAGGCCAAAAATAACAGGGAAAGTAAAATAGAGGTAAAAGGAGGAGGAGAAGCCACAGGTTAACATGTTTCAGCAAACGTTCCCCCTAAAACTATGAAATAGAACAGCCAGGCCAGCCCTCTTGCATAAGTACACAAGCCCAGTTTGATCTGGACTTCTTCCAAACAGTGGTGTCACTAGGGTTGGTGTCACTCAGTGCGCGTGGGAGGGTACTGCCTTGCCTTTCCCCCCAAACTATAACGCTGCAACCCCCACCCCTGTGTGTCACTCTACACACCCTGCACCCCCTGGTGATGCCACTGCTTCCAAAATGGACCCAGAGATTGCTTTTTTCTTTTCCTAGCTTCCACTTTTCTCATGATTTCCATTCTGGTGGCCAAACATGCAGTTCATTGTTTTTTACTGAGGGCAGTTGGTGAGTTAGATTTATCCACTGCCCCCATTTCTCTCTGTTTTGCTGTACACATATTCTCAGTAAGGGATTTTAGAGATACTTGGCCTTCTCTGTCAGAAAGCTCTGGTGCGACAACAAACTACAGATCCCAGAATTCCATAGCATTGAGCCATGACAGTTAAAAAGGCGTCAGGCTGTATTATTTCTGCAGTCCAGATGCAGCTGAAGGAAGTGCTGCCAGGGCTTTCCCCCCTTCTTCTTTAACTCATGGTCACATTTCCTTGTAACAGTGTTTGTATTAACTCGCTATTTTACATAATCCTGAATACATCTCCCCAGTTATAAACCTTGATTTCCATGTCATCTCTTCTATTCCTTCTACATCTGAAAATTTTCCAGACTAGAGCCTGGAAAAGTGACTATTTTGTACAGTAGTGAGCAGATCAGTTGCTGTCTGGGCAATTCTGGGTGTTTTTTTTATACTTTATTTTTTCTTCAAACATATAAATATCTTTCCATTAATGTACATTAGAATTTGCTTAATAACATAAAATGCTACCCCTAAAACACTACTTCCTCAGTGTCTCTTGCGGAGTCATCCTTTCTTCCCGACCATATCTATTTGAATTTATTGTTCTTTTGTTCTTTTATGATATATTCCCATATATCTACAGTAGTCACAAAGTTTTATACTCATGTGATGCAAGGGATTTTTCTTCCCCTTCTCAATTCATCTTATTTCCCTGTCATCCTATTACTCTGCCTATAGTTTAATATCATGATTCTGGGTGTTGCAATCCAAAAGCTGGAGATTCGTAGACCAAAATTTGGTAGCCCAAAATAGTGGAATTTTCATCCAAAAAAGGCTGAGGATTTCTGGGAGATAGAGAACTGAATCTTGGACATCTGAATAAACTGGAAATGTTCCTTCAGGTAAAAAGAATAGTGTTTTTTTTTAATTTGTGTATTTTCCACATTGACTGAGGTCCTGTGCCCCTAATCTCAGTGAATGTGGAGTAACCACTGTATTTCTGATCTCTCCTCTGGCTTGTACTATGCTAAATTTAAATTAGGATGGGCCGGGCTTGAAGCAAAATTAAAAACTTCTGTGTCCTAAATATTTCAATGGCATATGTTTAATGCTCTCTCTGAGTGAAATCTGTGGGACTGTGAAGTTCTTAAACTTGGTTGGATCCCAACCAAATTCCTTCTCCTTTGCAGGAAATCTTTTTTAGGCTGTTAAATATGCTAGCTGATCGTATTAATTATCTCATTTGTAAATCCGTTTCACTCCAGCCCCTCCTTCTCTGCATACATAGGACCACAAATGCCATTATTAAAATAATGATAACCTCAGTTATGGATTGCAGGGTCAGTTTGGCACTCCTGGTGTTCATGGCTGCTCACAGTGTTTGTAAATATAGTCTAGCATGACTAATAAATATAGGTTTGATGGCCAGGGAGTTGGCAATTCAGTAACTAAAACTAAACAAAGCTCATTAGGTATCCAGTTTAGCATTTTTTTGGGGGGTGTAGACAGTTGAGAAAGAAACAAAAGGGCTTCTTCATACTAGATCTCATTAGTCTGATTAACTAATTGTAGAAGTGAAGCGTAAAAGACGAAACATGACATCGAGGTGGCTCTGACGCTCTTGAGCTTTAAGCCACTTGGGGTTGCCCTAGCTGCAAATCCTCTCATTCAGTAAACACAGTCTTATTAGCCCTCCACAATTTGAATACAAAACACACCCATGTGTTTGCTCAGAAAATAGACATATTATAGAATGGTAAACCAGTATTAGGGTTAGGATTCGGGTTAGGGTTAGCATTCCATCACACGGTAAGGTACATATTTGTTTTCCAGAGAGTTGGAGACACAGTAAATCCAATTTTTGGAATTTATAATTTTTAAAAAATATTTTAAAGCCATG